CAGCCCCAAGGAGCTGAGGGGTGTCCCCCTGACCCGCTGCCGGTGCGTGTCCCTTCTTCCTCTATCCGCATCGCAGCCCGCACTTCCCTCCCCAGCGCGGGAAGCGCCGGACAGCGGCACATCTGCCCTGTGATGGACCTTCCTGCCACAGTTACACAGACAAGAGCCCCACTCACCTCCACATTCCTTACCTCTCTTTAAATTTTATTTAAAATTGACCAACAGACCTAAAAGTTACATGCATTAAAGAAAAAACAAAAAAAAAATTTCTTTTTTCCCTTTAACAACTAAAAGTATAGAAATCTCAGTTGCTTAGTAAATGGCATCTGCTTCAGGTGCTTTAACAGCATCACAGACAACACTTGGTTGGTATTATATCTGTCCAGCTGTGATTCAGGAATACTCTTCAAAACAACTATTTATTGATCTTGAAGAATGTTTTAAGTAAAAAAGCAAGCAAAAAAATCGCCAAAGACCAAACAAAAAACCAACAAAACCCACAACACTAAAACAAACCTAAAACCAGCATAAGTTTCTGTGGAAGCTTCTTAAATACAACTATTCTAAAAAAAAAAAAATAAAATCTTCCCACTATTCTACAGGTACAAAGCAATGAAGAAAACTGAGAAAGGAAGGAAAAAGGAGCAGAAAAATTGCTGCTGATTCATGGAGATAGAATTACAAATAATTTGAATGACCACACTTCTAGAGCAAGTCTCCCTGAAGACGAAAAGGACAGAAGGATTCCACAGGAAGCAACTGAGAACAGCTGTGACATCACGCTTTCTGAACTTCACTGTTGACTAAAAGACAATACACCAGTGGGGCTCTGCAGTGCTAGGGACACTTCAGTTCTGCTGAAATCTAATCTTAGAATCTGGATCTGAGTAGAAGTCTTGCATTTTCAGTCCTTTGCATTTATTTTTCTTCCCCATTGCTATCCTTTCCCAGCACCTCCAATACTCAAAAATCACCGTGTAGACAATCACAGCAATGCTCTCAACAGGCCAAGCTACAACAGGTACTGCAAAGATATTTCAGGGAACTAAAGGAGAAATTAAGAACATGTAGAGAAACAAAAGAGGAACTGCATTAGAAAGTGTTTGCATCCTAAGTGCGAAGGCAAAAAAACATGATCCACGATCAGCCCACGGAACTCCAAAAACCATTCCACAAAGCAAAGACCACGACTGAGACAAGGAAGCTGAAACTGAAGTACCAAATTTAACATCTTTACTACCATTTGGTTGTTTATAAAATAAACCAAACATGACTTTTTCTTGACAATAAGGAGCATACGCATAGGTTCCACTGGATTTCAGCATAAACTAGCTGCAAAGAACGAAAAAGAAAAGAAACATCTGCACCCCAAAGAAACATCTTTTTTAAAAAGGTTTTCAGTTTGTTTTTTTTTTAATAAATGTGCTTTGTTCACAAAAAGTAGTGACATAAAGACAACAGAAATGCAAATACACTTTCCTTTTTTCCTTTTCCCCTCCAGCACCTTATGAATCAGAAATCTCTTGCACAGTCATAATTTTCAGATAACATAGAAACATTCTTCTTGCACCAAAGCCAAAAATCCAACAACTCCTGGTTATCCCCACTTTATTGTTCAGGGAGGTGTAAGGATTTATGTAAATCTCACTTTTCTCCTCCACCACAATCTACAGTCCCTTGTTAAAAAGAAAAAGGCAGCAAGAAAACCAAGCTGTTATGAATCTCAGGTCCCTAAATCACAAAGACAACAGTGTCACCAGCCTGCCAAAAGGTTTAAATTTTAAGTGTTAAACTGTTTTGAAGGATAAATCATGGTCTGAATTGTTTTTTTGTATGACAATTTACATTAACCAATGCCAACATGTTAGCTGGTTTATAACTTTTTTTTAAAAAGGAGCAGCAGCTAAATTGCTAGGTACACTTTGAAGTCTGCAAAGATTAAGTTTTCATAAACAGCTGGATTTATAGCACCAAGATTTTAGCTTTAATGTGAGCACTGCTGGAGTCAGTAGTTAGCTGGGAAGAAAAGCTTTGAATGACAAACATTTTAGTGTAAGCAATGTGGCAAAGCACTGGATGCAAATACTGACTTGCAGCCAGTTTTGAATTTGTGTATTTCCTTAGAGAAGTATTCTCTGTACACAACCATGATACTTGTATGGCAAAACACAACTGTCTCTTTAAACATCAGAATATAACTGTTTGGTTTGTACATATTATTGAGATTGAACAACAAATTTGAGTCTGGTATTAGGGGATGCTGTAAATATAAGAAGATACACAAAAAGCTTAGGTTAAAGAATAAAGCATTGCAATCCACATCATGTTTGAGTGTAAACTGGACGAATGCGGAATGACTCTGTGTAGGAAACACTATGAAAGAAAAACAGATAGGTCAAACTGTGACACTTTCAGTGCAAAACTTCAATGGGAGGAGTAAGTTTCACTTTTGTAGCAACCACTGTAAAATCCACACTCCGACTTCAGCTTATCTGGTGACTTCTGTATTATACCTGCAACACGATAGGGTAATACGGGCTAAGGTGTATTTCATCACAACCACCTGTGAAACTATGTATTAGTATTTTCTACCCTTTTGCTGAAGTCAGTCTTTTAAATCATGATGTGGCACCTAGTTCAAATTGTTTATTATTAGGCACTTACACACAGATTTAACAGCCTAACACTCAAATCTGAAAATCTGGCCATTATTTTTAAATGGAAGGAAATTAAACTAAAATAATACTGAAACCTCTATTTCTACCACTGAACAGAATTGTGGTGTGTGTTTGTGGTTTTTTTTTTTTTTTTTTTTTCCTCCCCCTGCAATACCTTGCAGATTTATTACACAAGTTAAAGAAACTAATAGATGTAAACCACTTCTGTTCCATCTTTTTAAACAGTGCAGACCGGTCTTCAGACAGCTATGAAGATTTTATTTAACTAAACAGAAGATCTGAGAGTCCAAATAAGTAAACAAATAGTGTATACTAACTGTGCTTGTGTGGTCTGAATACATGGCTTTGTGCAAGTGTGTCCTTAAAAGCTTGTATAATTATCATCCTTTTTACAAAAATTGGTCTGTGGTTACCCTATCACTTGGGAGGTCTACAATTAAGGACAATTCAAGAAAAAGTTGTTTTTAAAAATGTATAAATAAGTTTACTTTAAAACATGACAAAACCCACCCTGTCTCACAAAAAACACAAGTGTGAAAAGAATACAGAACACCATCATGGGGGAAATACTGACATATGTTAGTGCTGGTGCACTCGTAAAATTGCAAAAGCGTGTTCCAGCTTAGAAGTGGAACACATTTCTCTAGACGTACCATACTGCTGGGGGGGAGGCAGGGGGGGAACAACCTCCTCAGAAATCTCACATCTGACTGCTGTTTATGGAATGAAATTACACAGGATGCGTAACCATGGACTAATATATTCCAGTGTTTTGGAGTTACCCCAGTTTGGTGTTGTCTCAAGAGGGCTGCAATAAAAAATAAGATCAAAAGTACAAGCACTGATAGTTTCTCTAGCCCAGGCTTAATCAGAGTGAAACAACTTTTGGAAAAAAAAGTTTCGCTCCATAATGAAGAAGGGACATGCGTAACCAATTAACCAAGTGTCTTAACCAATCTGCACATTTAATTAAAGTGCAAATTATTTCTTCCTACATATACTTCTCAGAAGCCCACCAACTCCAGTGCCTTAAGCTCAACCACATTGGGTTAAAATATTGAAACATCATTTAGCAAATTAAATAGAATTCACACTTCACAGCACTAAAGAAAAGAATGGTACCTTTCTGGAAAAAAAATTAGCAATACGAATCTAAGGAAAGTAACAACAATTTATGCTATGACATGAGCCATTTGCATAAAACTTGGATTTTTTTTCACTTTCATATAAGAATAAATTTTAAAATTCCAAAGTAGAAAAAAATAGCAAATTCTGTAAACCTTTGCATTTTCTTTATGCAAACTGCTTCCGTGTGTTTGAGCCCATGTTAGTAGAGCAAAATTAGTTAAGCAAAAGGTTTGACTGAAAGGGCATTTCAACAACTACATTAACTTAGAAGCAATATAGGATCTTCCAGCTCGTAGAAAGGAATTGAACTAGACTGGCTTTCTCCAGAGTCTGAGTCATAAGGAGCATCAGGTAGCTCCATAAAACCATAAGCTAGCTGTTCATCTTCTGTGTCTGATCGAACATAGCAGGAAGTGCTGGAATACTCCTCGTCCTCTATACTGTTGAAATCCTGTGGGATATACAACATTCCTGGGTAGTTCCTGCTAACCAAGTCACTTGTCGTTTGCAGGGAAGTTTTCCTAAATGCCATCAGGTGCATGTGAGAAAACTTGGAATACTTGAAGCGTTTAAAACCCAAGGACTCTATGGCAATTTTCCAGCTTTTCATCATCATGGCCCGGCGATTCTGATGAGATGAGTCAGGAGTTATCACCAGTAATAAGCCATTTAAGACGAGAAGTTCATGTGCCTTCTTGCAGCAGATCCATCGTTGATAGGGTGATGGAAAGTAAGAAAGGAGGAGCGAGAAAACAACAACATGGAACAGTTCTCCAGGTAGAGAGTCAATGGGATTTTTCAGTTGCTTAAGGAAGGCATCTATAGCATCTTGTGCCAGTTGGAGAGGTTGCTGAATTTGAAGGTTTAAGAAGTCACATTTGTATACGCTCTGGTGGAATAAGAAAACCAGAAAACCAAACAAACATTGAGATTAGTTTAAAGAGCAAATATAATCTGAATCCACAGAAAAATCAATGACAATCTCTCTGTCCCTTTGAG